AGTGGCTTTATATTGACAAGGCCTTGTATTACTTGGACAAGCAAATTGAAACCGATTGGAATTGGAACCAAACAACCAGCTCATCGGTTTCAATTTGCTTGTTTCCAAGCAATACAAGGCCTTGTCTATATAAAGCCTCAAACTCACTGTGAATCCTTTTATTTTCAAGACAGTTGAATTGAGAAAGCAACCAAACCTTGGAAACCAAGTCTGGTGGATTGTTTTTAAACTTTTATGGAATGACTATGACCTGGATGACTGAGAATCGTCATCAGCACTCTGGTGTTTGCTGCATTCATGAGGCATACCCAGGTGGTCCGGCAGAAGACCGCCATGTTTAGCTTGGTTTTGCTAGAGAATTCTTCAAAAAGGAGATTTTTTTCTCTTCATTGTTGCTTCATACTTCCTCATCATGGAGGTTCATATGAACCTGGGCCTTATTGTAGCTGGCATCCATCTTCATTTATCTGCCAGTTTCAAGCCTTGGGGGGGAATCCTCTCATTCTTATATAGACAGTAAAGGTTTAAAGAAAAAAAAAACAGTTAGTGCTTGGCGTGTTTAGCAATCATCACCTTCAATCCCCTGTAAATTTGTGGTAAGAGCTAAAAAATTTCTGAAATAGTTACACCAGTTCCTTTAAGGTGTAAAGAGCAATATTTATTATAAACTAAATTAACTTAAATTTTGTTTAAAAAAAACTTCTACTAGCTTTTTTGTGTACTAATTCTTAAATCAGCTCCAAGTATCATTTTTATCTTAATATGTCCTCCTCTCAGCCGATGTGATGGTAATCTAAGTGTTTATGAGATATTTGAAGTATCTGTTGTTTCCCCCTACTGTCTCTGACTGGAAATATCCAACTTTCTGTGCCACCCCTGGCAGTCTTGTGGCTCCGTTCTCATTCTTGCTTTAAGATGGTCAGCCTTACATCTGCACAATGTAAGGCCATGTGGGCTCAATAGCCAGGTCCTTGGTTGCAATACTCACAGGAGGTCATAGAACACTTAGATTTTGAAGGTTTATGAAGAAGGAGCCAGCATAAAAAGGCAAAAATTCTTCTCTGAAGTTTAAGAACAAATCAAAAAAAGGAGGAAAAAGTGAATTGGATCTGCATTTCCATGGCGAGACCTCAAACAACAAAAAGGATGCAAAATTGATGCAGGACTGGCAATGTTATTGAACTTGTCAGAACCAAATGTGCTAACCTCTGTTACTGTTACTATTTTGATTTTAGAGTGATCGTTTTTTAGCATGCAACTATAAAACATCGAGAGCCTGAATCCCCTTAACTTTATGAGAGCAAATAAAAATGGTTTACTATGGTGGCAGACATAGACTTCACTGACTTGTATAAAAGTAACTTGATGTGAAAAGCAAGATAGA